AAAACCTAAGGAAGATGACAGGTGAATCTAGGGTGGGGGTGGGGGGGTGACATGGCACCCTTCCGTTCTTCCAGGTTTCTGCTATAAGGTCCCGTCCCTCTCCAGTCTGCGCTTTTTCATCCCTTGCTTTTAAGTGGCTCTCCTTCCTTTAATGCCTTCAAGGGCTCTTGAGGGAGGATTTCCGAGGAGGAGGGCTCAGTCTGGGTGGAGGAGAAGCCTTTTTCAGCTACAAGAGACGATGTGCTTTAGATTCCGAGGTGCTTCCCCTCCTTATAAATACCCACCGGTTGATTTAGAAAATGATTTCTTTTTTTAACGGTTTACATGCAGATCGTATTTTGCCTTTCTCTCTCTCCCCCACCCCCCAAGGAAGAGAAAAAAGTGAGTTGGATGAGATAAGCTGTTGGGTGTCTTTAGAGGCAAATGGGGGGGGGGAGAGAGGTTTTGGGTGGGCATGAAAAATGAGGGTGGGGGGGTTGCCCAAAAGAGGACCCCCCTCTGAGCTCTGAGGGCAGAAGTTGAGTTTTGGTGGTGTGTTTGGAAGACTTTGGCCTCCTGGGCTGAGCTGGAGCTGAGGGGGGCTGTCCAGCCAGCAGGATCAGGATGGGCGTTGCACGTGGCTGAATCCTCCCCCCCCCCCGCTCCCCCTTCCTCTTGCCTCCCCAAATGACCCTCCATAGGCCACAGAGCCCTGCTCATCAGCAGAAGGCCAGGGCGATTTGGATTTGTGACTCTGGTGAGGCCACAGTCCCGCAGAGATGGAGGGCACTGACCGTAAGCGCTGACCGACTGCTTTCTGGGTCCTGAGCAGAGACATGGCTCTAGCTTGGCACTCTTTGATGGCGAAAGCTCCCCCGCCCCTCCAAACTCCCCCGTTGGTGTGTGTGAGAGGCAACTAACAGGACCAATCCCTGAAATTTTCTTGGAAAGGGGTTTTTTTGGAAGCAATTTACCTGCTTCCTAGGGCTGAGAGACAGTGACTGGCCCAGGGTCACCAAGCTAGCTTTGTGCCTAAGGGGGGACAAGAACGGGGGCCTTCGCCCACGACACCCAACCAACCGGCTCTCGAGGAATCAGTGGGACTTAAAGCGGTTGGGCGATTTGCCTCGCCTCTTCTCTTGACTACGGTCTGTGCTCTGAAGTGGATTGGGCGTCTGGGTGTGGTGTGAATGGCCCCCCTCGGAAAGCCTGCCAGTTCCTCTGTGGAACACCGCTCCAGGGGGGGACACACACACCCCGTCCCGGGCAGCAGGGCCACAGGCGGGATTGGCAAGGCGGCTTTCCCTGCCCCAAAGACCCTTGCAAAGTCAATGGCTGTAGGGAGGGAAGGCCTTTATTCAGCGGAGCTGTGAGGTGGTTTGAGCGGTGCAAATACCTCTTTTTTGGGGTGGCTCCTTCCAAAATGAAGAAGAGATCTGCATCGTTGGGAAGCTTACCCCGTACCCCTCCTGCAGTGTCGGTAGCAGGAAATAGCAGCTTTACGTAACAACTCGGGGCGGAGGGGGGGGGAATGAAATTTCCAATGTACTCGGTGATCCCTGCGGAGTAAAGACCCCCTTCGCTCCTCAGTTTGCCCGAAGACAACCTGTGAGCCCCAGGTTTGTTACTGAGGCAGTGAGATCCGTGGGGGGGGGGGGGGAGAAGCAGTGGGAAGCTGCTGCTTGCCTGCTTGTGCATTGGACATTTGGAGGCACAGATGGAGGTCCGCAGCCTGCCCCCGCCCCCCCCCCCCCCGCAATTCCCGTGTG